CGCCCCCCCCCCCCCCCCCCCCCCCCCCCCCCCTTGGACTAGGCCTTGGGAACCCAGGACCCCAGGATCTGTAGATGCACCACTGCATACAAAAACTCTGTTTCCAAAGCTCTGTGCCTAAAACATTTAAAACTCAGATTTTTAAAAACAAGAGCCGTGCCAAAGACTCAATAAATCGGCAGTAAATCACGGAGGACCTTTTATTATTTTATCTTTCTTTTTTCCTTGTATTTATTTATTTATTTTTTGCTTTACTGCTTTGCTACTGAGCACGCGGCCCACTCCTGCTGTTGTCTTTGGGCTCCATTGACAGTGGGGTTTCACGGACCGCCAAAGGGGAAAGCTAAGAAGTTTGATGGTTTCTGGCGCCTCGCTGGAAGTCCAAAAATACGAGCTCACTTAACATCACCACGGGGTAATGGAGGGAGAGCATTACCCCGCGAAAAAAGAAAAGAAAATTGAAAAAAGCCAGACTAGTTTTAACAAATCTTGGGTGAAAATGAGAGAAAACGAGCAGGGACTGACAAATTAGACAGGGAATGAGGTTACACCTGTTCTGCGGACAGCAGAGTGAGGAGAGTGGTTGACTATCATTATTACCATCTGGTGCTGTTGTTAGCAACATACAAAAATAAACAAGGCAGGCCCTGTTGCACAAATCAAGGGCTGGGCTGAATTAGTCAGACAAATAAACACACACACACACACACATTTTATATGACATTTACGTCTCAGGCTTTTAGTTGGTGGTCTAATCCAGAGTGACTTAGAATAAGCGTCAGGTCACCAAAAATCACATGTTGCCAAAAATAGGTCTTCAGTGGCTTTACAATGTTCCCATGACCATAGAACAACAGAATAAAATGTTTAAAAATAGAGCAGGTAAGAGGAAGGACGGGATTTTAAAGGAATGGTTTGGGAAATGTGTTTATTTGCTTTCTTACTGAGGGATAAATGAGAAGATGGACACCGTTGTAATCTGAGACTGGCATATATCTACTCATCTTTCTGTCGGTGAGAAAGCAAATATGAAAATAATAACTTCCTTGTTGTGAGTTTCTTTGGATAAATAAATTCAATGTAGTTTGATAAGATTATCTGAACTCAAGGTCCACTTACAAGCAATTTTTTCTGGAGCTCTCTGCAACCTTATGAGCTACTTCCACCTGTTATCACAAAACCAAACATCCACACTTAGATCAAGAGAAGACGACTGAGCCGACTCCATCTGCTGAGGAAGGCTGTGGCATTTGGTTGAAAGCTAAAGAAGAAAATAATAAGTGTCTCGAGGTAAGAAGAAAGAAAAACGTAAAAAGTAAAGAAAAGTTGGAACCCTTTTCTCATAAAGTACCCTTTGTAAAAGGTTTGTAACTTTAGTAACGGTTTACAACTCTTTTGTGCCTTAAAGATCAGTTATAATCCATTTATAATATAACATGTTAATCTTGTCATTGAAGAAGCATAATGAGTTCTACACTAAGTCATCAACAAATACTGCAATGTCATTGATAAAATCCACCAAGGCTGCAGTTTGTAACTAAACAACTTCATAAATGAAGAGCAGCTAAAATGACGAAGCAAAAGTCCTGCTGGAGGAGGATGAACAACAGGCAGAGAGTCACTTTCACCGCCTGGCAAAGTAGTTCTCAAAAAAACTTAAATAACTGATCTATAAAGTAACAGTAAATTATGTAATAGTAATTACTGCAGCAATTAGATTTAAGGTATAAACCCTCTATAAAAGAAGACTGATTAGAAAGTGGAATAAAATGTTGTAAGTTGCTGGGCAGGAGGTGACTGACCACAATGAGGAAAAGATTCCACCGCTGGAGAAAGAGAGGAGTTGGACACACACACACACACACACACACAAATCCAAACTCAATTGTTGAAGTACGGAAATGAGCTAAGCCCTTTTCCTCTGAAGCACCTGATGAGAACCAGAGTGGCGTTGCAGACTCGACAATTTGCTCGCCGCTGACCTGCACAATCACAGAACAGGTCGTAACGCGGCTCCTTTGAGTTCTCACGGCGGCCGATCGAGGTCTGAGGATGAGTCAGGACTTTTCTTTACTGTCAGCACAGGCGCCTGTTCCATCCTGCAGCAAACACTTCACCTCCAGCAAGGCCTGTGCCACGAGGCTCACCGGATGGAAAAGTCACATTCAAATTACAGAATTACCGACATGTGACTGAGTGGCCCCGCTTACTTTAAGCCGAGCGTTTTTGGTTACCGCCAAAAAGGAAATGACGAGCGCTTCAGGCGACTCATGGCGACATTCATTATCGATGGTATCTTTGATTTGACACCGACCCAAGCCACAGAGTCTTGAGCGTG